CTCCCCGTCACTCTGCAGAGCCCAGCCCTACAGGGCCACCCACCTGTCCAGTGGGGTGGGGAAACAGCACTGTCAAGTACTGTTGGTAGCAGGGTAAATGGGTGCAACTTTTAACAAGGGCGATGTGACTATCATCTATCTATCTATCTATCTATCTATCTATCAACTATCTATCTATCTATCTATCTATCATCTATCTCAAAAATTAAAAGGCAGTGCACCTAAGACTAATACAATATTGCATGTCGATTATATCTCAATAAAAAAATACATCTCTTTTGAGGTGAGTCAAAAATTCCTGTGCACCTACGTTATAAAATCTAAATAAGTTATCTCAACTCCAGTGAGTTAAGATAGAGATATGTAATTTTCAATATTACTTATAATTTAAAAGGCTTTTTATCCCCATATAAGTAATTTCTGATACTATGTAATAGTGGCTACAGGGAGGTAGGCGCACAGGGGGTTTTGGCTCAGCTTTGTATTTACTTGGTTGTAGTGATTTTCGTTAAAGTAGCGATCTCTTAACCATCAAGATTAGCCTTGAAAAGCTAAATGTAGAAAAAGGAGGATTTAAAGTATTTTCGTTTCCCGTTAAATATCTACTTCCACAGAAGTAGGCCTTTCTCCTATAACGGTTTTCATTGCAGACAGAAAAATGTGTTTTGTTCTTTACTGTTGAAGGGTGTTTTTTTAGAGACAAGCAAACACAGGAGCATGCAACCAGCACTGTTGTCCATCCAGCCCAGGAAACAACGTTTAGCTCAAATCTTCCGACTATTCTAACGGGCACTCCACACTAGCTTTCCTCAAAAAAACAAAAAAAGGGCTGCCCTTTGACCCAGCATTTCAACTTTGGGAATGTATCCTAGGCAAACGTTTGCATATGTGTAAATTAGCAAATTTTATTGATTGTAGTATTATTTGTAATAGCCAAAGACTGGAAACAACCTAAATGTCCATCAGTAAGAGAGGGGTTAAATAAATTTTTAAAACAATTGGAATCCTATATAGCAACGAAAATGGACACAGCTGCATACAACAACATAGTGGGAATAGAGAAACAGGACCCAAAAGAATACTTACGCTACAATTCTCTTTATAAAAAGATTAAACTCTGTTAAGGTAAAAACTTTACTGGTAGGGATGTTTACATTAGTGGTAAAACTATAAAGAAAAGCAAGGAGATAATTGCTGAAAAAGTTAGGGTAGTGTTACTTCTAGAGAGAGAGGGGTCTGTAAGGGAACATAGGGGATGCTTCTGGAGTGCTAGAAATGTTTCATTTTTTTCAACTTTATTGGGGAACAGTGTGTTTTTCCAGGACCCATCAGCTCCAAGTCAAGTCGTTGTTTTCAATCTAGTTGTGGAGGGCGCAGCTCACCGGCCCTTGTGGGAATCGAACCGGCAACCTTGGTTTAAGAGCCTGTGTTCTAACCACCTGAGCCAACAGGCCGCCTCAAATGTTTAATTTCTTAACTTGGATGGTGGTTACATAAGTATTAGCTTTATAATTATTCTTTAAATGGTACATAAATGTTTCATGCACTCATTTATATGAATGAGAATCTCTCATGATTTAAAAATATCGCAGTCCATCCAAACAGTGGAATGCTATACAGTCGTTAAAAACAACAAGACAGCTCTATATGCATGGGTTTGGAATGGATTTAGGGAGAAGAAAAACAAACAAACCAAAGGGAAATGCAATGTGTTTAGTATGCTGCCTCCTGTGTAAAATTTTAAAAAGAATATATACGCCTCTGTGTTTGTGTATGCTTAGACTATCTCTAGAAAAATACACAAGAATCAGGTTAAGTGGGGGGAACCTCTGGAAGGGGAACTGGGCAGCTGTTTCCATTTTTGTACCTTTTGAGGTTTGTACCATGTGCATTTCTTACCTAATCAACAAATAAAATAATTAAAAAGAATTTTGTTGACTTTTCATGCCCCGGAGCCCCCAAGGCTTGTTGGTTTCAAACCAATTTCTCGCTGACAAGAATGAGCGCCACAGCTCAGGCACGAGGCACCTGGTGACCTCTGGCAAGTCGGGGACCCTTTCCGTTTGCTCCACTGCAGAAGAAGGAGGCCAGGCGTGTGCTCCGCTGAGGTCCCGTCGCCACCGGCTGTCCCGTCTCTTCTCTCCCCTCTCCTTTGTCCTTTTCTGCCACCCTTGCCCTGTTCTCTCTTCTTGCCTGAGGTTCTTGCTGCCTCACTTCCCTCCTTTGACTCTTTCTCTTACTTTGTTTCTCTTTCTCTTCCTCTCCCAATCCACACTGCCTTTCCCCCATCTCTGTCCTTCCTGCCCGCTCTGTGCGTGGCTTCTCAGTCTGTCTCCTTTCTTCCTTCAGCTTCCTCCCCTCCTTGCTAGGATCCAGCCCTTCCTAGAGCCCCAGAAGGCAGATTTCGTGCCCCAGCTCTCCACTCACAAGTTGTGTGACCTTGGACGAGCCACTGACCTCTTGGGCCTTCATATATGTGAGATCATGAGGGTGGAAGAAACACCCAGCACAATGCTGGGCACTCAGAAAATAATGCCCGTCCTTTTTAAGGAGCTGTTAGCTCCAGGGTTGTGAATGATCAGACCCTTCCTGCTCTGCTTGGAATTGCTTAGAACCTTGGGTCCTACTGTTCCAAAGACTTTGAATAACAGCAGGTCTCTGGGGATGTGAGGTCTCAGGAAGAGGCCTCTGGTACACTTTGGGAATGGGGGTGGGGAGGACTTCTTGAATGGACAGAAAGTGAGAGTCATTCTGCCCATTTCCAGAGGTTTGAGGACCTGGGTCTATTGGGGGCTTCCTTACTCAGGTCCCTTGGGCTTGGCCAGACTTGGGACAATGGACTCTCTTTTGTCTCCTGGGTCCCTTGAGACTTAGGCCTCAGGAACACATAGCCAACCTGGTTGGCTGCCTGCACCATGGAGAAGAGCACCATACTTCCTGCCTACAACCAGCAGAGGCTCCACAGTTGCCCCTGGATGCAACCCAGGCTTCTCAGCTTGACACTCAAGGCTATTTGCTCTCCTGTCCTGTCTTGCTTCTAGCCACAAAGATGGCGGGTCACTCTTCCCTTGTTCTTTTCCACCTCCTTGCCTTTGCTTAGCCGGTTCCTCAGCCAGACATGCTCTTTCTCTTGCATGCTTTCCTACCTGTGATCCTGATCAAATTAATTGTTCCTCAATGCACCTAGCACCTCCCTCTTGTGCCCAAAGAACTATACTGTCTCATTACATGTCTGTTCCCTCTGCAGGCCTGTGAGCTCCTGGAGGCCCAGGGCATGCCTCATTCATGTTTGTGTCTAGCACATGGCAGACCCTCAATAAAAAATCAGTGGTTAAATAAATGAAGTAGTAGATAAGTAAGTATATAAACAAACCAAGACAAGAATGAATGAATGAATGAATGAATGAATGAATGAAGACATCAAGCAGGACCTGTTTCTCATGGGGCAGACTCATCCCCACACACATCCAATTAGCTGGGACTCTGCCTTTTTGACAGGGAAGTGGGGAGCAAAGATGGAATTGATGCCAAGTCAGCCCACCTCTCTTCTCCTGTTGGAGAGGGGCCTGGGTCAGGTTCCTAGGGAGTCTTGGGGACTTGTGACCTGGACCCCTTGGAGAGTCCCAAGTGCAGATGCAAACAATCAATGAAGATGGAAGCGATCTAATGGTGAACCCAGACCTGTGAATCCCCCATCTTTGCTGCCAGTGAAGAAACAGTTGGGGGCCTGGGGTTCCACTGACAGGAAGGAGGCCGGCTAATCTTAGTGGGAAGGGGATATAAAGCAAGGGTTAGACTATACAGAAGAAACTGAATGCTCAAGAAGTTCTTCCCCAGCAGAGCAGACTCACCAGAGATCCATGGATCAAAATATGTCCCTATTCATCCCTCTGCCCTCCAGACTAGATCAGGAGCTCTCTGAAGGCAGGGGTCTTGTCCAATACTTTTCTATTTCCCCCAGCACTTAGTATAGAGTCTGGAACTCAATGCTGGCAGGATGCACAGATAAGCAGATGGTTGGATAGATGGGTGGATGGATGAGTAGATGGATTGAATGGACCAATGGATGAATAGATTGATAGTTGGATATACAGTGGATAAACAGACGGAAATATAGACTGATGGTTTAATAACAGATGAATGGATTGATATATGAACATACAGACAATTAGACAAGTTGACAAACTGAACGGATGAATAGAGTAACAGGTGAATGAATGAATGAATGAATGAACAGTTGGATAAACTGATAGATAAATGAAAGTATGGCTGATGTGATGGGTGGATAGATGGATGAACAAATGGATGGGAAAACAGATGAATGGATGGACAGACAACAAAGGTTTGTAAGCTGGAAAGACTAGATGGATGCTCAGGCATTGGCAAGGGGTGGGGAAACTGAGAAATCGGGCTGGGAATAGAGCCTCCAGGGATTTGGAAGAAGCAGTGGCACTCAGGAAGCTGAGAGGGATGATGTAAAACCCCAGGACCCTCCTTTGGTAGAAGGAAAGGCCACGTGAAGGGACTGGGGTGGGGGGTGGGGAAAGCACACTGTGCTGAAGACCCTGCCCCGGAGCCCAGCCCCAGGCTGGGTAGGACTGAGGCGTGGGGGGCACCAGGCCCAGGAAGAACCAGGCCTGGCAGTCAGAGCCCTCAGCCGATCATGCTGACTCCAGAAACTGGAGTCTCTAGGAGGCCTCCCCTACCAGTTGTGACCCCGAGTAAGTGGCTGTTGGCCACATGGGGGGGGGTCTCAAGAGAAGTAGGCATTTGTGGGGTTAGGGGTTAGAGACTCAGCAGAGCCCCGGCCTCCCTGTGGTGGAGCTACCCTTCATCCCTCTCACTCTTCCTCTCTGCCCCAGCCCCCAAGGCCGCCCCTCACAGTCCCAGTTTCCTCTGGGCAGGGGTCCTGGCCCCTATGCCTCCCAGGCCAGCCCCTGCAGTACCACCCGCCCCAGCCGGCAAGAGACTTCCTGTACGCAAGAGATTTATGCAAATGATGTGACCCCAAGCGGACTATCTTCCAGTGGCAGGCCCTTCGATAAAATCAGGAACTTGTGCTGGCCCTTCAATGTCAAGGGAGGGGGCTCACCCAGGGCTCCTGTAGCTCAGGGGGCAGGCCTGAGCCCTGCGCCTGCCTGAGTCCGTCCAGCCCCAGACGGGGCTCCCCATCTCAAGGGGCTCCGCACTGGCCCCCACCGAGGCAGGAGACCCGACCAGCTCGGAGCTCGGCTGGATGTTACAGGCGTGCAAAATGGAAGGGTTTCCCCTCGTCCCCCCTGTAAGTACTGGGACTTCTCTACTAGCCCAACCCAGGGCCCTTGGACACCCGCCCGCCTGCCCACCAGCCCACTAGCCCACTGGCTGCCCTCCTGGCTTGCTATCGGTGGGAAGTTGGTGTTTCCTCCCTGGAGCTCCTGGCCTAAGACCCAGCAAGAGGGCCACTGGATCCTCAGAGCATGCCCTGGCGGGCAGAGGGCCGGGCCCATGGTGGGGCTGTGATCGGTGGGGCCTGAACAGTTATTTATAGATGGGGCTTGGGTGGCAGCCGGAGCTCCGGGGCAGGGTGCTGGGCTGAGGATGGTGAGGGAGGCGGCTGAGAGATGGTGGAGGGGGAGATGGGGAGATTGACGCGGGGAGAAGCCAGTCCTTCGGACAGTAAAGGCTTGAGAGCAAAAGTCAATGGGACCGAGGTGTCGGCCCATGGCCTGGGTGCTCCTGGAGACTGAGGCTGCTATAAGCCTGGGTCCCCTGTGATGGGCCTGGGACCTGGCGCAGAGGACATGGTTGTTGATGGAAGGGTCTGGGCCTTGGGCTCGCAGGTCCCCAAGAGGCTGGGGCAAGTGGGGGCAGGGGCTGGGCAGGGGCAAGCAGTGGAGTAGAGACTGGGGCTACAGTTAAGGTTGGGGCTAGGGCTGGGGCTCAGGGAGAAGAGGGTAGGGTGAGACTTGGTTGAGTGTGGGGCTGGAGTTAAGGCAGGGGCTGAGGCTAGAGGTGAAGAAGTGGGACCTAGGGGGTCCCAGGAAGGATAGGGCAGCGGGCTGGCTCTGGGTGACAGTTGCAGCCTTAGGCAGGTGTCAGACTTGGGCCCCTCTGAGAGGACTCCTCTCCTTCTTTTTTACCCCATCTCCACTCAGCAAGGGCAGGGAGCCCTGGGGGGAGCCGGGAAGGGCTTGGCAGGGCCTGCCCACCTAGCTCAGCTTCCCCGGCCTGGAGTCAACTCCCTTCCCCTGCCCACCCCAGCCTGGCCTTCGAGCCCCAGGGAGGCATCCCAGGCCTGACATCTTGCTGCTGGGCTGCCCTGCCTGGAAACCCGGTCTTGGGCTCCTGGTCACCTCACTGGGCCAGAGACACCACCAGCCAGCTGGTCCCCCGACCTGGCCCTGGCCCACCCTTCCCCCGCCTGGGACCAAGAAGTTGGGGGGCAGGCAGGGGGTGATAGAGGTAGTCCCAGTAAGAGCCAGCTCTGCCTCAAGAAAGCCACAGGCCCAAGGGTTTGGCCATACTGTCTCTGACCCTTGACCTCTCAATCCCTGAACGCCAGAGAGAGCAGGGCAGGAGGCACATCTTGGGCTCTCATACCAAACCCTTCAGCCCCTCTCCCAGCCCAGGCGCTACTCTGAGTACTCCTGGGAGGTTGGGCTCCCAAGGCAACCCTGGCCCCCCAACCTAAGCCCTGAGAGCCAGAGTAGCTGTTGTGCAATCCTTGAGCACACACTGTGGGGTGGGGAGAGGCCTGATGACTGCTGGGAAGACTCGGGGTGTGTATGTCCCTGGTCTGTGCCAGGCAGTGAGTGACGGGGAGGAGGGGAGGAGGAGAACAGGGAGGAGTGAGGAGTAGGGGGAGGAAGGGAAGGAGGAAGAAGAAAGGAAGAAAGTTAGGAAGGAAGGAAGGAAGGAAGGAAGGAAGGAAGGAAGGAAGGAAGGAAGGAAGGAAGGAAGGAAGGAAGGAAGGATCCCAGTGAGGGTGTCAGAAGGAGGATGGATGAGGGAGAGTGAAAGGATCAAGGCTCTGGCCATTCCATGGCTCCCAAAGCCTACCTGGGTGAACGCTATAAAGTCCGTCAGTATGAAGGCCATTGGTCATTGTGGTGGCCTTGAACGTGTGTGGGGCCTGGGCACAGGCCATGAGAGAGAATGGGGGGGCTGGGGTGGGGGCTGCGGAGACTGGCAGGAGGACAAGCATGTATGCTGGGAGGATGAGTGTGCAAGTGGAATATGAGTGACCGTGGAAGGATATAGGTACGAATGTGAGTGTTAATATGGTTAATGTGCTCGAAGGCAAATGTGGATGCGTGTGTTCATCCGCGAGTCTCTGTGGGGGCCTACAGGGTGAGTGTATAATGGGTGTGTGTGACCACGAGCCTGTGTGAGTGTCAGTGACCTTTAGAGTGAGTGTGAGAGCGAGTGTAGTGGACGTGTGGGCATGAGTTCCCATGAAGGAGTGTGGGTGTGAGTGTGTCATGGGGAGTGTGGGTACATTTGGGGGCTGGAGAGGCATCAGTGTGAAGGTGAGAAGGTAAATACGTGAGATTGGGACTCAGGCACACAGGTATGAGCGTGAGTGTGCGGCGCCTGTGAAGAGGGGTGGGGTGGGTAGAGAGAGGCCGCGCTCTCCCTTCAGCCCTGGTCCTCCTTTGACCGCTGACCCTCAGGGTCTCTGTCACCCCTTCTTTCTTTCTTTCTTTCTTTCTTTTTTTTTTTTTTAAGCTGAGCCATCCTGCCACATGTTGGCACCTCAGTGGCTGCTCAGCTCGGGCCGGGAATCGAACCGCTGTTGCTCAGAGCTCACACTCTTGAGCGAGCTCTTAACCAACTGAGCCACTCAGCCGGCCCCATCTGTCATCCCCTTTCTGCAGGAGCCAAGGCTCTTGCTCTCCTGGGTCCCTGCTCCCACTCTCTGTGGACACCCCCAGTTCCAACCAGAGAGAGGGCTGTAGGCCCAATGCAGTCACCAGTCTGGGAGGGCAGTGTAGATCCAACACTCTGGGGGACTGCAAACCTGGCTGGGATCTCCCCGCCACAGTCCAAGTTCTGACACCCTCTTCTCTTAGCAGCCATCGGAAGACCTGGTTCCCTATGACACAGCAGATCTGTACCCACGCCAAACGCATGAATATTACCCCTATCTCAGCAGTGATGGAGAAAGCCACAGTGGTGAGTACAGAGCAGAAGCCCCCCTCCCCCGCCCCCCTTCCCTGGCCTGGCCTGGGCGCCTGAGGGACTCCTGAGGTCTGGAGAGAGAAAAAAAAGAAGAAATGGCTCCCAGGGCTTCTTTGGAATTCTGAGAATTGGATCAAGCTCGTTCCCAGGGGAAGTGAATTCACTACCCTAAAACCCCACACTCCTGCTCCCCCACGTCCCACACCCCAGCCTCCCTTTTACTGAGCATCTTTGGTGTGCCAAGGTCAGTTTCTTCCACGTTTATCTTCTTGTCCAATCCTTGTGGTCTTTTTACAAATGTGGAAACTGAGGCTTAGGGAGCTAAGTAATTTGGACAAGGTCGCACATCTGGTCAAGGGATCCCAGGTCTATCTGCTCCAGGTTCAATGCTTTCTCCTCCCCACCACCTAATTTCTCCTTCTTCCTCTCTCTTCTTGTCACCTCCTTACCCTGCACGGTTGGTGCAGCCCCGCTTTCTGCTGTGTGTGGCTAGCAGCATTTCTCAACTTCTACTGACACTTGGGACCAGATAATTCTATGTTGGGAGGCTCGTCCTGTACATTTTGGGGTATTTAGCAGAGTCCCTGGCTTCTATCCACTAGATGCCAGTGGAACCGCCTGTCACGACAACCAAAGATGTCTCCACACATTGCTGAATGTCCCTTGGAGGGCAGGATAACTCCAATTTGAGAACTGCCGGGCTAAAGGAAAGTCTCTAAGGGTCCCCTCATTCAGCAGGGGCTGAAGCCCCCAGTTTGCTGGAGTGAGGGTGAGAATGGGGCCTGGGCTGAGGGGTCCTTCTGTCTGTGTCTAACTGCCCACCCCAAGGCCCAGCCTCAATTAGAGGTGGAGAGAGAGGCATTAGGCGCCAGGGACCTGAGCAGGGGGCTGTGAGAGGTTGCCCAAAGTGGATCTTGGCTTATTGATGGGGACAGCCCTGAACCAAAGGTGACGTGACCCAGTTAATGGGGCCTCACTGGGGCATTCTCCAGGGGTTCCAAGACTTGGGCAGGCCAGACGCTGGGGCATCTGCAGCCTCAGAAGGGAAAGTGTGCTGGGGAAGGTTTCAAACTTGAAGACCACACCTGGGGGCTAGTCACACCTGTAGCTCCATTCTGCAGGCATATCTATGGCAGTCTCAAACTGATGGCCACACCCAGGGGTGCCACACACTGCGAATCCTTAATCAGGGCTCTCACATCTGGATGCCCAGCCTTGTGAACAGTGTCACCTGGAACTCACACCTGGCAACTATTATTAAGACCATACCTGGAAGACATGTCTTGGGAGGAGGTGGTGGATGCACCGTGAGGCCACATCAGGGAACACACAAGCTTCTTTCAGAACCCCAGGGCTAGAAAGGCTTCAAAATATCCTCTTTTTCATCCTTTTAAGCTTATATATAATTCTACAAGAAATGCATCCTCTCTGTGGAAAAATCCAGACAACTTAGAGAGAAAGTCTCCCTCATCTAACTCTATCCCCAGCTCTCCTAGCCAGGACCAAAGGCAGGCCTCCACCAGCCAGAGACCATCGCCACAGACACCTAGCAGTTAGAACCTGAGCTGTCAAGCTCTCTGGGCTTGAGGGCTGGCGCCCCCTGGTGGCTCCAGGCAGCAGGACGGCTTGAGTCCCCGCAAGCTCAGGGCTGCCTGGGACTGCTTCCAGCATTAGGGATCCTATAGCTTTGAGCCTGACCCTCTCTCATTGCCAAAAGGTTTGGGTGCTTTTCCTTTGGGTCTAGTGAAGACTCAGTTTTCCCTCCTGTAATATTGGGGTGCTGTTCATATATCTAGAAATGAGCTAGGCCTGGGGCTGGCTGATGGAGTGAGCACTTTAGTGAAAGGCTTTCCTGGCCCAATGCCCAGGCTGATCCCTTATATCTAGGTCTCTAGGAATGACTCCTGATTGGATGTCATTTGGATCAGGAAGCCCCAGTTCCTTCAGTGTCCCCACGTGTCACAACCCCTGTTTCTTCCAGTCACTCCCACCCCATCATGGTCGATCTGGGCATCATCCATTCAGTCCTAATACCTGTTGGAAGGTATTGTCTGAAGGCTTAAGAGTAGAGACACCCCGCATGCTTCCACCTGCTTGTGACCTGCATCTATATTTTTAGGCAGTGGGGCTTAGTGAAAAGGCACGGAGGCCGGGCCTGGGCCTAGTCCTGGCTCCATCCCTCACTGGTGTGTAATCTCAGAGCAAGTGACAACATTTCTGAGCCCCTGTTTCCTCATCGAACATGAAAATACCACATTGAGTTGTGAGACAACTAAATGAGGCAATGCCTATAACGTCTGAGGTAACGTACTGAGTACCGGGCCAGTAGACTTTCAGGACATGGTATGTTAGCTTTACTGCATCCCCCCAGGTGAAGCACAGAGGGCTCTGTGACAGATCACCTGGGTCATTTTCAACTGACTCAGCGGACAGTCAACCAGCCAGCCACCCACTCACCCATCCAACACTTACTGTCCACTCCACTTGTCCGCTCCTCCACCACATAGCCTCTGGTTGGTTATATGCCGGCTACCAGACCCTGTGCTAGGCACAGGAGATTCCATGGCGAGCAAGAGAGACAAAGCCACTGCTCTCATGGAACTTACAGTCCAGTGACGGAGAGACACAGTAAACAATCAAATAAGCAGACATGTAATCGTAACTCCTATGAAAAGCAGAGTAATGTAATGTGGCATGTCTGTGTGTGGGGCTACTTTAATTTGGTTGGTCAGGGAGGGCCTCTGAGGTGATGGCAGTTGAGTGGAAACCTGAGTGAAGAGAAGGAATGTGCATGCAAAGGCGGGTGGGGGCAGGGTGTCGTAGGTAGAGAGCAAATACAACAGCAGGAGTGACCTGGGCAGAGGGCCAGAGCAGCCCATGAGCATGGGGGTGGGGAGTGAAGATAAAACGAAGCTGGGAGTCTGAAGGGGCCGCAGACCACACAGGGCCTGAAGGCTATGGCGGGAGTTTGGATTTACCCTACACACAGTGGGAGCCACTGGAGGGCTCTGAGCAGGTAAATGGCATGGTCTGGATAACCTCCTCTGTGTGTGTGTGTGTGTGTGTGTGTGTGTGTGTGTGTGTGTGTGTGTGTGTGTGTGTGTTTAAACTCTAAATGCATTTTAAATCTTTAATTTTTAATTACTAAAGTAAAAGATACTCATTGCAAAAATTAAAAAAGAATACAATAGTATATCAAGTAAAACATTTCCTTCTTCCCAATCTCACGCCCCACCAAGAGCACCTTAAGTCTATTCTCGCAGACATTTTATTCTACATATACTCGTATAATCCTCTTTGTTTGCAAACATACGCATACACACGTGCATAATCTATCCATTCAAAAACAGAATCATGGTGGGCCCACCGAGTGGTCCATTTCGTTAAGAATTCACTCAAGAGTTTGAGCTCTGAGCAACAGCGGTTCGATTCCTGGCCTGAGCTGAGCTGCCACTGAGCTGCCAACATGTGGCAGGAAGGCTCAGCTAAAAAAAAAAAAATTGGAATTGTGGTATCATACTGTTCTGCTATTTGCTATTTTTTACTTAAACTTATAAACATTTTTTCATGACATACATAGCATATCAGAGAAAGATTAAAAATTATGTTTCCAGTCTTTCTATTACAGTGCTATGTAAATGTATGCATGCAGTCTTGAAATAGAGACCTAGAACATTATTCATTTACAAATATTTATTGAGTACCTTCCATATTCTAAATGGAGATGAATCTAGCTTGATTTTTAAATTTGAGACATTATCTATTCACTTGTACTATTGAAGATGAGAATTTGACTCTATAGTCATTCACAATTCACACACACACACACACACACACACACACACACTTTCCCACACATACCAAGATAAAGATATAGTAAAAATTTTCTTGTTCTCCAGCTTTATTGATATAATTGATATACAATGCTGTATAAGTTTAAGGTGAACAGCATAATGACCTCACACACATATATATTGTGAAATGATTACCACGAATTTAGTTAACATCCATCACTTCATATAGTTATAAAAATTTTTTTTCCTTGTGATGAGAACTTTTAGAATCTACCCTCTTAGCAACTTTGAAATGTGCTATACAGCAGTGTTACTTATAGTCACCATGCTGTACATGACATCCCCAGGACTGATTATCTATTTTATACTTAAGTTTGTATCTTTTGACCTCCTTCATCCAATTCCTCCTCCCCCCAACCCCAGCCTCTGGCAACCAGAAATTTGATCCCTTTTTCTATGACTTTGGTTTTTTGTTTTTAAAGGTTGCATATATAAGTGAGATCATATATTTATCTTTCTCTGTGCAGTAACTTTTGCTAAATCAGTATATGAATTTCCTTTATTATGACCGTGTGAGTATCATTCACGATGAGCCACATGGCGTACTTCCAGTACTTGTGTTTTCTCATCCCTGTGTTTCTGAGGAGCGGTGTAGCAAGGAGATAAGAACCCTCACTCTGGAACCAGGCCATTGGGGTTCATATCCCATCTCCCCATTACTATCTGGAGTGACCCTGGGCAAGATATTTTACCTCTCTCCTCCTCAACTTTCTCATAATGATACCTACTTCACAGGATTGGTGTAGTGAGTGACAGTATGTCAAATGCTTAGAACAGTGAATGTTATATAAGGATTCAGTATTCTTATCAGTACAATCTCCTAAGAAAGGCTGTGTTGGGGGTAAGGTTTTGTGGTTGTTTTACCTCAAGTCTTTAATCTGTGCTCTTACTTTAAGCTATGCTCTTAGCTGGGCTGTATATAAAAATCTGGGTTGAAAATCATTTTTTCCCTTAGAAATTTGAAAGCATTTCTCTATTGTCTTCTGGTTACTGGAGTTTTTCTTATGAAGTCTGATAGCCTTCCATGTCCACTTTTTTTAATCTAACCTATTTTTTGTTTGTTTACTTTTTTCTGTTTGTTTAGTTTTGTTTTGACTCTCTGGAAGCACTTAGTATCTTCTCCCAATATCTAGTGGTTGC